GAAGGCAGGGCCGCCCCTCGTCCTGCAGCACCTGTTTACCTGAGGAACGCGGCCAGCCTTTCCTTTCTCTTTCTTTTTTGTATCCATACTTTGAAGAGTGGAAAAGTTTCATTTAAGTTTCTCTAGCATCAGAACATAAATGACTAACCGTTCTTCGTTAACACGGAGTAGCGTAGGAATTCGTCGTTTATTCGCAAAGGCCATATTGTAGCTAGAATGTCTCAAAAGGGAACTGACCTGAGCACTCAGACTGCAGAAAAGAGATGTTGATTCTAAGCCTTGTAACTATTAAGCGCCCCCGCCCAAATTGCTCAATTGCCTTCCTCAAAATCAGCTTGCCCCTGTTAGGCTTGATGGGGGAAAAAAATCTTTGATCGCCTACCTATGCTGTGAAATTAGTTACACGTGGGCTTTGATAAATGCCTGTTTTTTCCTGAAGGTAAGTTTTCCTCTCCCTCCTCCCCATATCAACCAGACAGTTTCTACAGACTTGGTTGACTATTTTGGGTAAAATACAACTTTCATATTAGCTTTTTAACTTTGCCTCTTTACCTTGATATTTGTAAGAAGCATGAAAACATTAGTATCTGTTACAATCCATTGTACCTCCATAAGGGAAGACAGCTGAGTCTACTGACTGCCAACCAAAGGGCTTGGCCTGTAACCAGATGTTAGCAGCCTGGCTTTCGCCCTCCTCCTCCAGCCTACTGAGGTCACTCTGTCTCATGATATTTAAGTAAAATAACCCTGCTTCTTACCTCTGTCTCCCAATATCTTTGAGGTTTAATTTTCTTCCAGATATCACTTGCATTGTTTCTCTGTTTCTGCTGAATTTCCCAGCTTGCCCGTGTGTCTTGTCTCTTACAACTGTTCCCTTTTCATTACCTTGTGTCAGTTCAAATCTGGAACACAGCCCACCTTCCTTGATTTCCTCAAAACACGACTTCACACAAGGCAGCTGTAGTTAACAGACGTTTAATAGGACTTTACCCAAGACAGCTGTGTCTTTCCACCAGGCAGTTTTATCCAACAAACTTGCTCCTTTCTGTTTGGGGGAGGGGTGGAAATGTGGCAGATTTATATTAGAGTACAAGAGTGGGGGGACCATAAACTAGAATTTGGGGCATCTTTGTTTTATCAAGAGACTGGTTGGCCGCAGGGAACTTCTTGTCAGTTTTTCTCTTTGGGTGACAGTCTCTCCTTTCTCTCCCCAGCATTTTTCTGTATCAGGGCCCCCTTTCTCCTTCCCTCTCAGCTGCTTGTGGAATCTTAAGATTCTTTTTACTTTCTTATGCAGAGCAATTTTGTGTTCCTTTATTTTTCTTCTAACTGTCCCTTACCGTTTGCTGTGGATTATTCTCTAATCAAAAGAGAATCTCACTCCTTGGGCAGTTCTGCCACCAGAATTTCTTTCCTTCTCTCTTAATCCCTGCAACAGTATTATGAGGTAGGTGATACTTCTATTTACATACAAGAAAACAAAGGCCTATAAAGTATATGAGTTTATCCAATGTAGGTGGCAGAATGAGATTTGAGCCGAGTCTATGAGGCTTTAAAGCACCGTGCTCTGCCTACGCAATCATAATCAAGGTACTTAACTCAAAGACACGAAAAGAAGAAAAAGTAAGATTATTTATGCATGATCAAAATTGCCATTTATTAAAATGGAATTTTGGCATTAACCTACCCAAAAGGCATTCCAGTAGTGAGAGCAAGTTAAGTCTGAAACAGTATCGGACTAAGCATTTTTTTCATTGAAATGTGGGTTTCCTGAAAACTACTCCCCATCAACCGAAAGGAGCATGTGTTTCTCATGATTATAAGCTCTAAATTCCCTTTTCTGCTGAGATAATGTCAATACAAGTACATTATGTGGCCTCGCTTTCAGTAGTAGTATTTATTCACAATAGTTTTGTAATAGAATAGGACATCTCTTGGTAAATTCTTAGTTTTAAAGGAATTGCTTTTTTTGCTTTTGGGGTTCTGTTTACTTGAAAAATTGATGGTTTTAACAAAAACCATTTACTGTCACCTACATTAAAGGACATAAAAATTTGAGGGGTATTTTCCAACTAAAATACTTGTCTTTCTTTTGGGATGTGTGTGTATGTTTTAGGGCAAACAGTTGTCATCAGTAAGATGAAAGCTTGTTTGAAGTTTCCTTTAACTGTAAAGGAGACATTTACTTTGTATTATAGACAAGAGCCCGAATTATTCGTTTTTAATATAAAAAATTCCCTTTTCAAATGGTTAAAGTTAGAAACACTTTTCCACTTGAAAATTTCTAGACACAGTGAAAGATCAGATTACTCATTGGAAAATCCCATATATTTTTTAAACCGTTAACATGATATTGGAAGATTGTGATGCTTATACTCTTGAGTCATATTGATGCCCAGGAGGGGACTTCTAAACTTGTTTTCTGTGTTTCCTTTGTGGCTGGTGGTAGGTTTTCAACAGACTGGCAGCATAAACAAAGAAAAAAGAATGAGTTCTTAGGAAAGTAAAAACAATAGGGTCAAAAAAATAAAAATTGCTGTTGGAAAATGTTTAAGAGAAACATA